ACCCCCAGAACCCGCAGGGGCAGCGGGGCGGCAAGCTAGGGGCTTTGCTGCGCTCGCTGCCGGTATCTCCCATGGCGGCGGCGGCGGCGGCACCAGATCTCTCTCGGGGTCGGGGTGGCTCAAGGCAGAGGGAGGGTCCAGGCCGGGGCTCGAAACCGGGATTCCAGGCCGGTCAGCTGGAGTCGGGCGCTACCACTACAGGGGTGGCAGGGTGGGTGGGTGAAGATTGAGGCGATGGCCGCGGCGGCGGCAACGGCGGCAAAAAAACGGCGGCGGCAAGGCAGGCGGCCGCACCCTGTGGCGCTTGAGGTGACACTGAGCTGCGGGCGGCGGCTACCGGCGAGTTGTGACGGGCTTGCAACACGCCACCCCGGCGGGTAGCGTGCGCCCCCTGACCCAACAATGCCCTCGGCTCCTCCCCTCAGGCGAGTACGGTGGTCTTGCCCGTCCGCAGGATCGACTGGGAGGGGAGCATACCAATGGGAAGAAACAGGTAGAAGCCACGAAAGAGGAGAAGAAGGGCTGTAGCTAAAACAGCTGCTTTTCAACAGGGTTAGAATTGTCCTAGCTTTAAAGCTGGAAGCATTCCAAGACAAATGAGTGCCAGAATACTAGTCAGGGAAAGACCTGGAACCCCCTACGCTGTTGTCCATTAGTGGTACAGTCTGAAGAGATTGGATCCCGGGGGTGAGGCAGAGCGAGCCCTACGCATGCGTTAAAACAGTAGGAACCCGGAAGTAAGCGGGAAGTCAAGTCCTTCTTATGGGAGAATCCCTTTCCTGCGCTTATGGAATTCCCTGACTAGGCGGGAGCGACCGCGGGAATTCCTGTCGGGGTTCCCCGGCTGGCATTGTGTACTCCTACTTCCGTCCTCTTCTCGAGAATTTAGTTTTTATTTTAGAGGAAGAGAATGCTAACGTTTTATTTTGCGATTTTGTACACGCTTACGCGGTTTTAAGCACCTTCGGATTTAGTTGGAAATAATTCTGAGCGAATGCCTATACAGTACAGTAGAACTGCACAGACTGTTTCCAGTTTAGAAGGGGGAGTGTAGCGGAATTTCCTCGTTCTCCTTTTGTAGACCTTTGTCCTGTTTCTTTAACCTGAAAAGGAAACAAAATCAGTGGTTTGGGGGGAGCCTGGCGGAAAGGTGTGAGTGCGTTCTCTATTATCTTGAGGTGTTGTTCTTCCAGGAGACACAAATGAAGAGTCAGAATTACAAAATAAAGTAATTTTATTAACAGATGTGTTTACTTCTTCTTGGTTACAAACAACAGAACCTTGAACTGATAACTGGGATGGCGAGCTCTCCCAAAATTATAACAGAGATTTCTCTTCGTTCAAATCTTTTAATAATAAGTTTTTGCTCTTTCCTCCTCCATTGGTTTTCTCAGAAAATTGTTTCGAACTGCACACAAAGTCCCGCAACATGGGTGGCGGGCCCAATCTCCCTCTCTCAGGACTTCTTTCTCTATTTCTGGTGGGATGTGATGTACCAGGCGTGCTGGACCTTGTTTCTTCAGGTACACTAGTACAGTCCATTCTTCCGGACTTAAACCAGGGATGATGGGTCTTATTTTACTGCTAGTTCGGTTTTCATCCTCCTCGCTTATCGGGTTCACTGCAAGTCTTTTGACAGGAACTGCAAAGACTTGGGCATCTCTGTTTTCCCGGACTCACTCTCTCTAAAGACAGACACCTTCTCTGTCTCTCTAGAAATTTCCCTCCTCTGTAGTTAAAATATATATCTGTTTTCTCCCTCTCACGATACACCGATCTCCTGTCTCCTGCCTCTGGTCTTTCTACTGGTATTTTTTCCTCTTTCGCGGTATAACAATCTCCTGTCTCCTGCATCTGGTCTCTCTAACGGTCCCAACTGCTTCTGTTTTGTGTGCGCTCCTTCCTCTCGAGCTCTCTCTACTTTCAACTGGCGACTTTCCTCTACCTCTTCTGCTTGTCCTCTTGCCTCAGGTTTCTTTGATCTTTCTGATTCTACCTCACTTACATGAGGGGACGGCTCACTCTTAGCTGTTTCTCTATCCTCCTCACAAAAGGTCTCAGATTTCATAGTGTTATGTTGCTATGAAGGGACAACATCCCTGTTGAAGTGCTGAAATGCGGTAAGGGGATCATCATCACTGAACTGTATGACATCTTTTGTCTCTGCTGGAGGGAAGGTGGAGTACCACAGGACATGAAGGATGCAAACATTGTCACATTGTACAAGAACAAAGGTGACAGGGGTGACTGCAATAACTACCGTGGTATCTCTCTTCTTAGCGTTGTAGGGAAGCTGCTTGCCCGTGTTGGGCTGAAGAGGCTCCAGGTGCTTGCAGACAGAGTCTATCCAGAATCACAGTGTGGATTTCGAGCTAATAGATCCCCCACTGACATGGTATTCTCCCTCCGACAGTTGCAGGAGAAATGCAGGGAACAACAACAGCCACTCTTAGTGGCCTTCATAGACCTTACAAAAGCATTTGACTTGGTTAGCAGGGATGGCCTTTTCAAAATACTTCCCAAGATTGGATGTCCACCTCGTCTCCTTAACATCATCAGGTCCTTCCACGATGGAATGAAGGGCACTGTAGTTTTTGCCGGCTCAACATCAGATCCCTTTGACATCCGAAGCGGAGTGAAACAGGGCTGTGTCCTCGCACCAACACTTTTTGGGATCTTTTTTGCTGTCATGCTGAAGCATGCCTTTGGAACTGCAACAGAAGGTGTCTATCTCCGGACTAGATCAGATGGAAAGCTCTTTAATCTCTCTAGATTGAGAGCGAAGACCAAAGTCCAGCTGAAATGCATGCGGGACTTCCTCTTTGCAGACGATGCAGCCATTGTTGCCCACTCTGCTGAAGACCTCCAACAACTCATGAATCGTTTCAGCAAGGCCTGCCAAGACTTTGGACTAACAATCAGCCTGAAGAAAACACAAGTCATGGGCCAGGGTGTGGACTCACCTCCCTCTATTACCATCTCCACACAAGAATTGGAGGTTGTTCATGACTTTGTGTACCTTGGCTCAACCATTTCTGACACCCTCTCTCTAGATGTCGAGCTGGATAAACGCATTGGCAAAGCAGCTACCATGTTCTCTAGACTCACAAAGAGAGTATAGCTCAATAAGAAACTGACAACACATACCAAGATCCAGGTCTATAGAGCCTGTGTCCTGAGCACACTCCTGTACTGCAGTGAGTCCTGGACACTTTGTGCCCGGCAGGAGAGGAAGCTGAACACCTTCCATATGCGTTGCCTCCGACGGATTTTTGGTATCACCTGGCAGGACAGAGTTCCAAATAGAGTAGTCCTAGAACGAGCTGGAATTTTCAACATGCATACATTACTGAAACAGCAACGTCTACGCTGGCTTGGGCATGTTGTGAAAATGGCTGATGGTTGGATTCCAAAGGATCTCCTATATGGAGAATTAGTGCAGGGAAATCGCCCCAGAGGGAGACCACAGCTGCGATACAAGGATATCTGCAAGCGGGATCTGAAGGCCTTAGGAATAGACCTCAACAGATGGGAAACTCTGACATCTGATCGTTCAGCCTGGAGGCAGGCGGTACATCACGGCCTCTCCCAATTTGAAGAGACCCTTGTCCAGCAGGCCGAGGCAAAGAGGAAGTCACAAAGGAAGCAAAACCAGGGAGCTGGACAGGGGACAGATTGGATTTGTCTTCAGTGTGGAAGAGATTGTAACTCTCGAATTGGCCTCCTCAACCACACTAGACGCTGTTCCAAGTCCTCCATACAGAGCACGCTACCATAGTCTTTCGAGACTGAAGGATGCCTACTAGCGATGTTGCTATTAAAGGCACGAGAGCACCTCTACTTCATTTATACAGTGGGGTCTTGACTTGAGAACTTAATCCGTATTGGAAGGCGGTTCTCAAGTCAAAAAGTTCTCAGGTCAAATCTGCATTTCCCATAGGAATGCATTGAGAACCATTTGATCCGTATCTGCTCTTTTCTGTCCATAGAAACTAATGGGAAGCTGCTGTTCTGCCTTCGACCACTAGAGGGGGATATTTTGTTTCTTTTTTTCTTAGATCAAGAAAGGTTCAGGGAAGGCAGGGAAAATACAGTCCAGGCAGTACAAGTACCAGGCAGTCTGAAGACTGTCTCCCAATCCACTCTCTAAATGCTGGGAGGAGTGAGGAAGCAGACAGGCACCCTTTTCACTGGCCAACAGTTAAATGAAAGTTCAAATGTTGCACTTTCCCTTCCTCCCACGTGGTTTTTTTCAGTTCTTAACTCACATCTAAGTATGTAAGTCAAGTCAATATTTTCCTATGAGAGCGGTTCTTAAGTCAAAATGTTCTTAACTCAAGCCGTTCTTAAGTCAAGACCCCACTGTATCAGCATTCCTGTTTATTTTAACTTTTAAAACCAAGGAGGAAAAAAAACAGGAACAAGATCTTAACTTGCTGTTACCATAGAATTACAACATTGTTACAATCCTGAACTTGCTTCCTCAGACGTAAAAGCCACACATAGTGGTAACATTTCTAAAAATACCAGAAGATGCCAGGAAATAATCATGTGGTAATCTAAAGGAATTTTTTTAAATTGCGTAGAGCTTTCATGGTCTAGAATTCTCTTCCTTAGATGTATAAAGGATTGTGCTCAGATAACAAATTATATATGTGGGTGCAGAAATAAAGTGGAGGGCGGAGAACATAGGCAACAATGAGAATAAATGGCTACAGAAAATCATGACCAGTTAAAATGAAAAATCAGTGCAGTGACCATGGCAGCAGCAACTGTTGACCATTAGTACATGCAGCAGGATATAAATCCATTGTCTTTACACTAACCTGAAATGACAGAAATTGACTGCTTGCTGAATTGTAGTTTTGCAATTTCCTAATGGAATTCCCCATTAATATAACTTTGTTTTATATGTGTCACCACTTTCAGGTTACCTGAACAGTGGACTGGCAGTGGAAATACTGATTTTCAAAGGTGCCCTTTCTTATACAAATTTTGTATCTGTTTGTTCTTTTGTTTAGAGACAGTGGCAGTCAGGGCTGGACCTCAAGCTGAAGTCCAGAATGGGGACTCCAAATGAACATGCAATTTCCACACTCTGGTAGCAAAACAGCAGACAAGCCCAGGATCAGTACCTGGGCTGGTTGGAACATGCTGGGGTGTAATGCAGTTGACACCGGTTGCTGCATTATCCGTTCTTATTTTAAATAACATTTTATAATGAGGGTGTGGTATGGTGAGTATGTATATAATGACAGATGTTCTCTTAATGGTTTATGTTAAAAATACATTGCCCATTTCTACAGCTATAATATATATTCTCAATGAAATACTGTACAATTAATATTAGGGCAGCAAATCAAGCCCATTTTACTTCTGTACTACATAGCCATGCT